TTTTTATTTTGATGTGTAGGAGTGTTAGTCTCCTTTGTGGTTACCTTAATATTTACCCCTATTTTTCTAAGTTTAAACCAGTCTTTTATTTCTTTATATCGCCCTGTCTTCCTCTCCATATGAAAGATCTGTGACTGCATTTTTTAGTCCTTCTTGTTTTAATGTTGTCATCTTTTACATAGTGACATCTCTGTTTCCCTATTTTCGGTGTTTTAGCTTTGATTTGTTTTTGTGTCTTCCCTATCTGGGTTGATATCTGGTTGCTCTGTCCTGTGTTCTAGTCTTGGGTTGTTATCTGATGTTATTGATTTTCTAACCAGAGGACTCCCTTTAGTATTTCTTGTAATTTTGGTTTGGTTTCTGCAAATTCCCTAAACTTCTGTTTATCTGGAAATGTCCTAATTTCACCATCATATTTGAGAGACAGTTTTGCCAGATACATAATTCTTGGCTGGCAGTTTTTTTCTGTCAAGGCTTTATATATGTCATCCCTTTGCCTTCTTGCCTGCATGGTTTCTGCTGAGTAGCCCAAGCTTAGTCTTATTGACTCTCCTTTGTGGATGACTTTTCATTTATCCCTAGCCGCTCTCAAAATTCTCTCTTTATCTTTGGTTTTTGCAAGTTTGATTATAATATGTCTTGGTGCATTTCTTTTGGGATGTACCTTGTATGGGGTTTGATAAGCATCTTGGATAGATATCTTCTCATCTTTCACAATATCAGGGAAGTTTTCTGCCAACTAATCTTCAACAATTCTGTCTGTAATTTCTGTTATCCCCCTGTTCTGGTATTCCATTCACTCGTAGGTTATTCCTCTTGATAGAGTGTCACATAATTCTTAGGGTTTCTTCAGTTTTTAAAATTCTTTTGTCTTATTTTTCCTCAAATAAGTTGATGTCAAGTGCTATCTTCAGTCTCACTAATTCTGACTTCCATTGCCTCAGTTCTGCTTCTGTTACTTTCTATTGTGTCGTCTAATTATGAAATTTTATTACTAGTGTTCTGCATTTCTGTTTGCTGTCTCTCTGTGGATTCTTGCAGCCTGTTAAATGTGTCATTATGCTCTTCTATAATCTTCTTAAGTTCCTCTGTTGCTTTGTCTGTGTGTTCCTTGGCTTGTTCTGCATTTTGCATCATCTCTTTCCTGATCTCTTGAAGAGTTCTGTATGTTAATCTTTGTATTCTACCTCCAATAATTCCAAGAAGTTATGTTTCTCCAAAAATTTCTTGAATCTTTGTTTTGGGAGCTTGCTGAAGCCATCATGGTCTGTGTCTTTATGTGATTTGATTTTGACTGTTGTCTCTGAGCCATCAATAAGTTATTATATTAATTTAGTTTCTGTTTGCTTACTATGTCCTAGCTTCTTGTTTTTTTGTTTTTAATATACCCAAATAGGCTGCTCATGTGAGCTAGTTTGATTATTGGTGTCTTTGAAGCTCTCACGTACTGTCACCGGGTGGTTAGATCTGTTACTAGGTATGTGAACCCAGGAGTCTGTTTACTTTTCTTGTATGGATTCGGCTCAGGTGTCCAGATAGTCAATCACCAAGTGTGTGGTGCAGGTTCTCACCTACAGTCCTAGACGGGCAGGGGCAATTAGAGTAGGCACAGGTATCTGGCTACAGTTGGGGTCACACGCTGAGCAAGGCAGGGGGCTGATGGCTGCCTCTGAGTTTCTGGGAGGAAAGCATGTCCCTGTTCCCTGGAGCTTATTGTTGGTGCGTTTTGCAGCTGGACTATGGGCACCCAATGCTGTTGGCTGTAAGGACTGGGAAGCACCACTTATTCTTGGACCTGTCATGGGTGGGTAGGTGGCATGGGTGGAGCCACCAGTCCTCAGGCCCCTGATGTGGGTAGGTGAGGATGCTGCTCAATAGGCAGAGCAGTGTCAAATGTCACGAACCTGCCACTCCACCATATCGCTGACAGTTGAAGTTAGGCTTCAGGTATATACTCTCTTGTACTGTGCTAATGAGGGCCTACGCTGTTGAAATGGGCCCACACAAGTCTGTGCAGGGGTGAAAGGCATTCAGAGTCCATGGCCCACTTATGTTTGTGCCTAGGCAAAGGTACACTCCCCCTTTTTAAGTGAAATGAAATGTTTTGCAGAACCCTAATCCATGTCAGGAGGCATTGGTGGCACAGTGGTAGAATTCTCGCCTTACATACAGGAGACTCAGGTTCAATTTCCAGCCAGTGCACCTCATGTGCAGCCACCACCCATCTGTCAGTGGAGATTTGCCTGGCTATGATGCTGAACAGGTTTCAGCACAGCTTCCAGACTAAGACTAGGAAGAAAGGCCTGGCGATTGACTGCCAAAAATTAGCCAGTGAAAACTCTGGATCACAATGATTGTCATGGGGATGGTGCAGAACCAGACAGGGTTGATGTTGCCTGCCTCTTGGACCATTACAGGCACCGAGTACACACATGTAGAAGCCTGGACCAGTCGATGCTCCATGCACCCATCTGCCTGGCAGGTGGCTCTGCTCCCACAGATGCCACCTTTGGTGCCTGGCGCTTTCTCCTCGCTGACACAGGAGCACGTGTGTGTGTGAAAACACGACTCGCCGAGTGAACACTCCCCACAGGCCTTCCTGTGACGGAGATCAGTGTCTCCCTTAACCACTCATTCTGTCAGGGTCAGAAGCCCCCCAGTGTGCACCCCCACCTCCAGCCTCTTTTTCACACCCCAGTGCTGGGCACCCCCCCATCAGGAGCTCAAGCTCCGCACATGCATTGCTACGGTCTTGTAATGACCGTGTAAAAATGAAGGTGAGGAGGGCGATTCCCACCATGGAATGATGATCCGCGTGCCAGGTACTGAGCTCCATGCTTCCCTTGGAGCAGCCCCTAATCCTCTCAGGTGCCCTTGTAGCAGCCGCATCATCCTTTCCATTTTACAGAGGACACAAGCACAGAGAGGCAAAGAAGGTGCCACTTGGTACGTGACAGCGCCTGGATCTGAACTCAGGCCATTCGCTCAGATCCCAGGGCTTCACCGCCATGCCGCTGGTACCAGCGGAAGAGCACTGGTCACCTGGGACAGCAGTCCACATCTTCATGTCGAGTGCAGTCAGACACAGGACTCAGCTAAACGCTCAGCGCTGAGCAGGTTAGAGCATCGAGGAGGTTAGCACCTGCTTCTTGTTAGGAAAAGCAGAAACTGAAAACTGTCTCTGGTCTTCGTTCCCCACTGCCCCTCACTGCCTTCACGGAGTCCCTGGTGTGCACAGCACCTTTGCAAGGGGCAGTGGGCGGCTGGCCCAAGCTGCCCTATGACTCACGGGTGGTTTCTGAGATGCAGTTTTAGATGTCCCCACTCTGAGGCTGACGCATGTGTGAGCACTTCCAGGAACTCTGCATCTCGTAAGGAAGGGAAAAGCTGTGCGTGCACGGGTGTGTATGCGTGTATGGACGCCTGTTATATGTGCATGTGTGTGAGTACATGCGTGTGTGTGCACGTGTGCATGCACGTGTGTATGTGTTGCTTCTGGCATAGAGTTCTAGGAATACTTGTTCCTCTGTCGTTGAAGGGATGATTCTGTCCTCTCATGCTGCCGTTTTTGCCATGTGGTTGACAAAAATTGGAAGAGTAGGTTGCTTTCTGAGGTACCTTTTCTCTACGAACTTGGCAGAGACCTTCCTGATGTCGCTGTTACGTGGCTAGGACTTGTCCTTTTGTTGCTAAGGGAATAGTGATGAGGGTAAAGTTAGGTCAGGAGCCAGTGGTGAGGACTTGTGTCCAGAATAAATCCAGAGCGACCTCAAATCAGTTAGAAAAATGGGCAAACACCCAAAGAGGCACTTCATTAAGAGGAAGTCCAGATGGCCAGTAAATATGTGAAAAGAGCCCCAGTCTCATTACAGTTGGGGAAAACCTCAGTCTTCCTACTAGATTGGCCAAAAATATAAAGTATGTTTCGATTTGTGAGGATGTGTGAGGACGCCTGCTGGTGGGGCATCCACGGTGCAGCCACTTTGGGAAGCAGCGTGGAGCCATACCTAGAGCTGGCCATGTGTGTGCCTGTGGCCAGCTGTGCCCCTTCTGGGTGATGTGGTGCACCAGGAGACAGGGACAGGAAAGTTACTGTGGAACTGTCCTGTGTATCCAAGGCATAGAGAGTCTTGCTGCCCATCACCCAGCCCCAGTCGCCACCAGCACACAGCCCCTCGAGTCATGTGCATGTTAAGCAGCCTGGTTGTTGGGGAGGCCGTTTTGTATGAGCAATTCTAGGAACCCCAGCCCTCCCAGGAGCTCTCCATCCGGAGCACAGAGTGGCAGGAAATGTGAGCAGGAGAAAGGCCTTTTTACTTGGAACAGCCACAAAGCCCAGCCCCCTCCCCCCATCCTATTTCCCCTAAGGGCAGTGATGGCTTCCCGACTAAGCCCACTTCTGTAGATTGGCCTGGACTCCTGGCCTCTCCGTGAGAGATTTAAAAGACCCATCACGCGGCCGGCCACTCAGGCCTCAGAGGCTCTGATCGTGCACTGTGGCCAGAATGGAATCGGGGGGATTACCGCCACCACGTCTCAGCAAACATGAATCCTCAAGTGGGAGATGCCAGAATGGGATGCCCCCACCATCTGGCCCCATAATCTTTTTCTGAAGAGCTGGCTTCCCGCCTGCTCTGAGTCAGGCTCCTTGTACATGAGGAGGAGGAGAGGGACGCCAGGCTGCAGCTGTGAAGAAGGGAAAGAAATCTTGGTGCAGCCTTCACCCCAAGCAGCAAGAGAGGCCACACTGCCCCTTGTGCACACCTTTCACAGCCAAGGCATCCAGAAAACTTGCCTCACCGGACCCAGTGCTCACCGGAGGCTCCACAGCATCCAGCAGCCAGGCCAGAGTGGGCCTCAGCCCTCAGCCTATCGTACCCTGTGGTTCTCACAAAGCTTGTCCACGGCATCCAGCAGCCAGGCCGGAGTGGGCCTCAGCACTCAGCCCAGTGTGCCCCGTGGTTCTCACAGAGCGGGCAGGCTCTGGCTCAGCCTGTCATATTGGGAGGGATGCAATTCGTATGTAATAAAGTAATGGCCATTGGCTCGTGGGCTGAAGGTCCCCAGAGATGAGGGCCCAGGGGCGGGTTCCTGCTGGGAGTGGCTGTCGCACTGCAGAGCTGTGCTCCATTGTCCTCGGGGCCAGACATACCAGGAGGCCACATTTTTCAGATTGTCAGAAGGTAGCAGGTTGCATATGTTGGATGTTATAGACTCCTCCCTCCGTGGTGTCAGCTGTACCCTATAATCACATCAGTATTGATCCCATAAGTGTGTAGGACCAACTCAGACTGTGCGTGCCCTCTGCCAGGTTTGCTACCGATGGAATGTCCCTTGTCCTCAGAGACTTCTGGGATTTAGGACTGAGGACCGAGGGTTGTGGGCTTAGGTATAACTTAACCATAAAGAACCAGGTGGGGGAACGGGATGCCTTCGCGTCCACATGTTTAACGCAGATGTTTATAAAGTTGGGGAAGGTCAGAGGACCGAGACCCTAGACTGGATTCAGCTGAGGGCAGATGTTGGTCTGGCAGCATTTTAGGTGGTGGCTGTGCAGGCTCTGCTGGGTGGTGGGGGCGTGACAGGTCTCTGGCTTCCCTTTTCTGAGCTCACCTGCATTTACCTAAAGGCCAGGACAGACCAGGCAGCTGCCTCTAATTAGGTTGCCAGGCTTTGGTTACCCAGCACATGCACCACAGAAGCCCCAACAAGGCAGGCTGCAGGTCCCCGGCAGCCAGCCCAGGGAACCCGTCCTCACGACCAGCAGCCTTTCCTCTCCAATATGTTTCTATCCTTTAGTTCTGGGCACATTTTGGGGATGATGTAGGACTGACACTACCTGTAGGAGCAGCAGGGGTCAGGGGACGTCGAGGCCATTTATGTGTGAGGAGTGAGCTTGCTGCTGCTTAATTATCCCGCTGCTGAAAGTCAGCTATAGCTGACCGTTGTTCCTCGTGTGTTTTGAAATGTTTCAGTGCCATCTTGTGTGACAAGCACGCTCCCAGCAGCCTGGCCCCGTGCTGTCCCCACACAGCCCTGGGCTCATCACAACGTGCACAAGCAGCATAGTAGGCCACCCACCCCATTCTGATATGCGCATGTCTGTATTATCTCCTTCATTTTAATACTTAATGATTTTCCTAGCGGACAGATCTTTTCATAAAACAACAACAGAAAAAAGGAAGGGGAATCAAGTATTTGAACAATACGAACAAGCAAAGCATAAATACTGGCTTAGGTGTCATCACTTCATTTAAAAAGCCACCTGTTGAGAAGGCTGAATGCAAGTGCATCCTGGAGGCTCGGGCCTCAGGGGTGTGTGCAAGGAGTACACACAGCTCACAGAGAGTGGGCACTAACGCAAGGGTAGCTTATTTGCATGTTAGGCCTCAGACAGGCCTCTTTCTGGAAAACACAGAACTTCAAGCAAACACGCCTGTGCTGTTCTTGGTGTTGGTGCCTGTCTTCATGGGGACAAGGGCAGGAGCGCCAAAGGTGACCCAGTGCAGTGTTCCAGTCACAGCCTTAGTTTACGTCTGTGTTCAAGGACCGCACCCAGGAGGGGCTAGGCCTCCACCTGCTGCACGCCGCCTTGGTCCTGGACACAGTGCCTTGGCCCACACTGCAGCCTCTTGGCCAGCCGCCGGAGCTTACTAGGGAAGCTCTTGTCCATGTGGCGGTAGAGCAGGGGCATCACCGAGCTGCTGGAGAAGGCCAGGAGCCGGGCAGCATCCTTGGCGAGGGGCAGGACCCCCATGTAGTGCCCGTCCACAGGCCTCCCCCGCGTGGCCACGAGCACCTGCCCCAGGAGGGTCACATAGTATGGCGTCCAGAGCCCAAGCTGTGTGCCCACAGTGACCCCCAGCAGCCGGTGCATAGAGGAGTCCAGCCTGCCCGCATCACCTCGGCTGAGAGGCGTGTCCTCCTTACGCAGCCGGGCGATGAGTGCCAGTGCATAGAGGGCGGCTAGGGCGGGCACCACGTAACCAACAAGCACCATGATGGCATCAGCAGCCTCAGTGCTTCGCATCTCGGCGCACTCGGCAAGCCGTGAGGACACGTGGCTGCAGATGTGGAAGAGCAGGGAGGAGAAGCTGGTGAGCAGTGCACCACCCCAGACAAAACCACACACGTGCCGCGTGTTGTACACGCTGGACATGTAGGTGCGTGGCAATGCCCGCTCTATGTAGCAGTCGAGACTGAGCAGCGCAGTGGAATACATGGTCACCAGGGCAGACACGTGGAACAGGGTCAGCAGCGTAACCTGGGCCTCACTGCTCAGCCGCCACAGGGCCCAGCGCGCGTGGGCCGGCCCCAGCAGGTAGGCAGGTGCCAGGGCACCAAGGACCAGCCCAGCCACGGCCATGTTGACGAAGTAGACGTCGGGCATGCTCATGCTGCGCCGGCTGTACAGGTTGGCGAGCACCAGCAGTGCGTTGTAGCCCAGACCCAGTGGGAGGCCCACCAGCAGGTAGAGCAGCGAGAGTGCCCACAGGGCCAGCGGCAGGTCCCGGCACAGAGGCAGGTCAGAGCCACCCACCGTCCCATTGAGCGCATCACAGCCCCACATGGCGCTGGGTCCAGCTGCTCTTGGTGCAGCGCCCTGTGGGGAGAAGGGGAGAGTCAGCACGTGTTAGGACAGCTAGCCCCTCAGATGCACAGAGACCCCAGAACCCTGATGGCCTCTAGGAAGGGGACTTCCCTGAGTATGTATCTCTTTGAAGAGAAAGCTAGTGGCTGCAGATGGCCACATGCCTCACAGTGCTGGGATGCTGGTTCTGAAGAAGATCTGGGTAGCGGGTGGCTCGCTCCAGAAGCTCCCATGGAAGCCGTTACATAGCCTTGCCCGGCCAGGGGTGGGCACCTCTCTGCCTACTCTGCCCTCGAGGAGAGTCCAGCTGGTGGTTGTGCCCTTCCACGTGGGGGGCTCCTCAAGGCCCCACTGCCCTAGCAAGTCCGAGTCTGAGCCCTGGGACCAGAGGATTCAGGAGTGCTCTGACCCCTCCTGCAGGCCCTGCCCTGCCACATCAGCCCACCTCCCTGTCACCTCACCACCCTCATCACTCCATTACCTCGCCATCCTAATCATCTTACCACCCTGTCACCTTACCTCCCCATCACCTCGTCATCCTATCATGGTTCCCCATCACCTCACCCCCATGACACCTTGCCACCATGGCACTGTCACTCAGCCACCCGTCACTCCATTACCTCATCATTTTGCCTCCCCATCACTCCGCTACCACGTCACCCCACCGCTCTGCCACCACATCACTCCATTACCTCGCCTCCCTCGTCACCTTGCTTCCCTCAACTGTAGCTTCTTTACTGAAAAGTGGGACCAGAAAGACAAACCACCTTCCGGAGAGGATCAGGTGCAAAGACACTGTACAGCCTGGTGGGCTAGGCCCTTGGGAGGGAGACCTGGGGCCTCACCACGGCCATGGTGCTGAGTGGAGGGCGATGGGGGACTTGAGTTGTTCCCTGCAGTTGGGCCTTGGCCACCCAAGCAACACCCTGCCCTCGCCTGGATGTGGCCTGGTGTTCTGTATCCACTTCCATCCACCATGGCTGGTGTTCGGTCACACTACAGGGCTGTTGAGACTTGGTGTGAAATCCCTTCTGTCCTGCCCTCAACCAACATCTGGGGCCAGGGTCCTCCCAGCTCACAAGCAACCAGGAGACACAGTGGATTGCAGCTGCTGGTCCCAGTTCTCCCACCTTGTCCCTGCTTCCCTGCCCCTTCCCTCTCTGCCTCCCCTCAGTGTACACGTGCTGAGTGACTGCAGGGTCCCAGGGGGCTGTGCTAGGGTGCACAGCACACCCTGCTGCTGCCCCAGGAGCCTGCAGTTCAGAGGAGACAAAGATGTGGGAAACTGTGCCAGCAGGAGCCGGAGGCTCCTTCATGAGGCTCTGGTGACCTGAGCCAGGGTGGGCGGGGGCACCTCTGATGAGGTGCTGCTGCTCCAGGAGGTTGCAGGGCATCGGGATGGGGTGCAGAGAGCGCCGGGGTTCTCTCTGGGTGGCACTCTCCCAGCTCCCGGAACCTGGTCCCTCCTGGGCTGTGGCGAGGTCAGCTGCTGTGGACCTTTTGGCGGGAGGTGGGGCTTAATGCTGCTATCCCCCCGAGGCTTGGTGTGCAGCCACCACAGGGTCTGAGTGCTCTGATGCGGAGCCAACAGCACGGTTTAGGCTGGTCTGTGCATCCTCACTGGGGGACCTGCCTTGGGGTTCGCATCACCTGTGCCAGGTATCTGAACTAGAAGTTGGTTGATGGAGCTGTGATGTGAAGAAGAGCTCCCTGCTCTCCCAGACAACCGCAGTCTTCACAAATGTTCTGGTTCTCTGGGGAGAACCTTACATTCAAAGTGTAGTTTGGCCCAACCATATCTCCTGCTCTCAGAATGAAAAAAATGACATTCTTAGCCAAACACATACAAAGCAGACCTTTCTCTTTCCCGGAGCTTAGAACAAAGTAAGGAAGCTGGCCCTGCCCCAGCCTGAGGTCCCCTGCCCGCCGTGGAGCACTGAGGCTCAGCTCCCAGGAACCAGGCAGCCACAGAAAGGCCTCGCTTGGGTGGAAGACCTGCGTGAGCCACGCCCTGCCCCTTTGCCTGCTGTCCAACTGGGTGAGCCCCCCAACCTATGAAGTGAGGAGTGGCTGGGACGCCCAAGGCTGATTCAGGTGTACATGCTGATCTTGAGGCTGTGGGGGCAGGTGGCACAGACTGATAACTTCAGGGCAATGAAGAAAAGTGAAGTCTGTAGGGCGCTGCTTTGGAAAAAACAGTGCCTCCCTCCAGTGTCCCTGGAGCCACTTGTGCATCCCATGACAGAAGTTGTGTCGGACTCTCACATGTCTGTACTTGTGAGACCATGCAGTCCTTGATGACAGGGCCTAGTCTAAACCACTTTTGTATCTCAGTCTCACACTCAAATATCAGATGGACAGATGAATAGGGGATGGGTAGATCAATGGTTGGATGGATGGATATGTGAATTTTTGTTCAGATGCATGGCCATACGTCCTCAGATGACAGACTAAGAGAAACTGAATTTGTAGGGACATTTTGCAATCCTAATGAATGCCACCCAGCATCCTGGTGATGAATGTCAGATGGCAGTGGAGGTACTGAATCACACCCTCGTGGGCGGCACCGGGACTGCCCACACCCACGTGTCAGCCACACTACCTCATGTCCAGTGTGAACACGATTCTTCTCTCTAGACAATGGTCCCAGCCCTCTGATCTCCACACGTCCCTTCATCAACAGACTGAGAACCTCCAGGCACTCGGCATCACAGGGATGGGGTGAAGGAGTATGAATGTGCTGGGGGCTAAGTCTGCTCAGAGAGATGACGCGAACATGCAGAGAACGCCAGAAAAGGCTGCGAAGAGGCCACACTCTCACACACGCGTCCCCGCGGTGAGCGTCCTGAGGAGGAGGCCGCTCTCCCACACAGGCGTCCCCGCGGTGAGCGTCCTGAGGAGGCCGTTCTCCCGCACACGCGTCCCCGCGGTGAGCGTCCTGAGGAGGCCGTTCTCCCGCACACGCATCCCCATGGTGAGCGTCCTGAGGAGGCTGCTCTCTCACACGTGTCCCTGCAGTGAGCTTCATGGGGTCACTGACTAAGGAATGGTTGGTTGTCTCACGAGTTAGAGGAGGTTTCCCTGTCTGTGTCATCTGGCTTCCTGGTGCTGGGTTTTCTCTCTGCACTCTCCCCGTCCCGCACCCCTGTATCCACCCTCCGGGCCCCATCCTGCTGTCTGCCCAGCAGCTGCTCCTGTCTCGGTGTCTCTGGTCCCCTCCTTCAGGAAGTTGAGGACCACTGGGGGTGGGGGTGTAGCCCACTGTCCGCATCCCAGGTACTGCCCCCAGACAGCCTCAGCTGAAAAGCCTTCCTCCTGCTGTCCAGGAAACGGTGGGTTCCTGTGGCCACCGCGAATATACCTCAGTAAGCAAATGTTTTCACCCCAAGATGGCCCTGCTTGTCCTCTGTCACCCTGTTGTGGCTAAGTCACCCCTGGTCTGGTCGCACCAAGCCTGCCTCCCTCTGGGACTCCCCGTGGCACAGCTGGGACCTTCCTGCATGTTCTCATTTCAAACCTTCGTCCTCACCTCAGGGAGACAAGGCGAGAGCAGGAACTGCACCCAAAGAGGATAGGCTCTTCATTAACTGTGAGGCAGAGTCTCTCTGCGCTGCCTGTTCACATGAGGAAAAGCTGCTGGCACCTGCCATAGGAGTGTGTCCAGGGAGAAAGCACCCATCACCTGACTGACCTCATTAAACACTGAATGCTTTCCCAGGCCCAGCTCTCTGCCAGCTTCCCCTTTCATTTCACGGAGCACATTCACGTTGGTGCCAGCTGACTTTGCACTCCCTCCAGCCACGTCTCCACTCGCCTAGCCCCTCACTCAGCCACCCAGCCTGGCCTCCAGCCACCAGCCATGTCGGGCCATCCTGCTCTTACCGTCACTGTGTGCCCTGCATTCTCTGTGCCAGTGCTCCCACTCACTCAGGAAGCAAAGGCAGCCACAGAGAGCTCTGTTGTGTTTCTCTGGAAACTCCACAGGCGCCTTATCAGCAGTGGCCATGCAGCCTGGGTTTCCTGTACGTGTGTGAGCGCGCGTGTGTGCGTGCGTGTATGTGTGTGTGAGCAACCACAAGTGAATGCACGGGCCACACTTGTTTTTCTTCTAGTAAATTACTCACAGAGTTTCTGCCTTGCTTGGCAGGCAGCTGAGGCCCCTCCCTCTCTCTGTTTACAGCCAGTTTCAAGAAGTGAGAGGCTGCGCTCAGAAGAGAGTGGGCTGAGGGCAGATGTGTGCACACCCTCGCCCTCCCAGATCACACGCGCAGGTTCCCAGGGGATGGCGCAGCTCTGAGGGCTTTGTGCGGACACAGCCCACATGTGAGGGCCCGGCCACTTTGCAAAGCCTGGCAGAGACTCACGAGAGCCTGCAGCCACTTCCTCGTTCTCCGTGTGTATGGGAAGTTGAGTGAAGAGTTTCTTTTTCTCCTTGAGGACATTCATCTGTAGGACCAGGGACAGAAGAGCATCTGCCTTTGAGAGGATCAGGCTGCATCCATGCAGACCAGCAGGGCACAGAGCAGGGGCAGGGGTTAAAGTGAGCAGAGGAGATGTGCGTGTTCTGCAGCCTCCTGATGAAGCATCACTGTGTGTGAATGTGAGCATGAGCGTGGCTCTCTGTGAGTCAGCAAGGGCTGCTCGGTGGGCACAAAGGCAGGCAGAGCCATGGTCTTGTGCACCGTGGGGCTTCGCTGAGCCAGCAGGGCCCCTGGGCTGTGCCCCAGACTGCAAACACCCAGCCCAGGTGAGGTCAGCGAGGGGCGCCTTGACTCTCAGGAAACTGTCATGTGGAATACACTCGTGCAGGACTTTCTTCACACGTTCCTGTGCTCATATGGCCACCGCCAGCTCTCCATTCCCTTCCTTACACGTTGAGTGAAGGATGGTTTTGATGTCAGACGCAGCTGACATCTGAGCTACAGGTCCAGTTTCCACTCTTGGCTCTGACACGCTCCACGGCAGTATGGGGTACGCAGAAGCCTCAGAGCAGAGTGCCGCTGACTCGGTCA